CTCCCTCTCCCCCTCCCCCTGCTTGTGTTCCCTCTCTAGCTGTGTCTCTCTCTGTCAAATAAATAAATAAAATCTTAAAAAAAAAAAAAAAGGCAGAGATGGTCAGACTGGAGAACCAACTACATGCTCTCTACACGAAACATGTTTTAAATATAAGGACACAAACATATTAGAAATATAAAGACGGAAAAATAGATACCATGTAAATACTAATTTTAAGAAAGAAAGCTGGAATAACTACACAGTAATATCAGAAAACAAAGACTTCAGGGCAAAGAATATTATCAGAGATTAAAATGGTCATTTCACAAGGATAAAAGGTGAGTTCATTAAGATGACATAATAATCCTAAATGTGTATGCATCCAATAATAGAGCTTCAAAATACTTGAAGCAAAAACTGACAAGAATTGAAAGGAAAAAATAGACAAATCCACAATTTTAGCTGGAGATTTCAATAGTCCCTTTTCAGTAATTGATAGAACAGTATAACTGTATAGAAGGCTAGAACAACATCAACACCCTGACCTAACTGACAGACATTGAACACTATACCCACCAACTGCAGAATGCCCATTCTTTTAAAGTACACATGGAACATTCACCAAGATCTATCAAATGCTGGGCCAGAAAACAAATTAAAAGGACTACAATCTTAAAAAGAAAGTTCTCCAACCACATGAAAGGAAATTAGAAATCATCAACAAAAGGAAACCTGAAAAATCACCAAAAATTTAGAAATTAAGAAACTCATTTGTAAATAACCCGTGGATCAAAGAAGAAATCCCAAGGGATTAGGGATTTTAGAAAGGGAAATTAGAAAATACTTCTGACTAAATGAAAATGAAAATACAACGTCAAAATGTGTGGGATACAGCCAAAGTAGTGCCTACAGAGGAGTTCATAGCTTTAGATTTCATATATATATTAGAAAAAACAGGTTCAAAATTAACAAAATTAAAATTTTAGAGTAAGATAAATGAACTATGTGTGTATTTACACACTACCTACCCTAATAGCTTACAGAATCACAGATTGAAAGAGATTTTAGGAATGTACCCTATTCAACATCCAACACTACCAATTCTGATATTTAAAAAAAGTAACCCACATTGGGGCACCCGGCTGGCTCAGTCAGTAGAGTGCACAACTCTTGATCTTGGGGC